AAGTTTTACCATTGAACCACATATGTATAATATAAAGCATACCTTCTCCTTTGATGTCATGTGGGAATCCTACCACAGCAGTTTCAGCAACAGCTGGATGTTCATCCTTAGATACACAAACAAATAGTGATGTTAAATACAGTAGTGAGGAAATAAAAGATTGTATCTATAAGACCCCTGTCCATCATATTAGTTTTTGTATGTCATTGTTTTTACTACGTCAGTCAGTGCCACATGATTAAAATTCGACAGTTTCTAATACTGATGTTTACCAATTGAACTATGGGTGATCTTGATTTGATCTGTTGTATATATATTTTTTTCTTATAACAATTTTTAGGTAAAAAGATAGAGACTTTAATATAGATACACATTTGCATTTTTAAAATAAATCATCTCATTAATTATAAGAGCTAATAATCTTTACAATTGGATTTGAAATTCTAATTAGATTAGAACATACCCAGAATTGGTATATACAGGTAAGACATACGTAAATATGAAATTCTAAATAATAATTAGTTACCATTGCATCTTCAACTTCTGCTGTCCCCAATCTATGACCACTGATATTGATGACATCATCAACACGGCCTGTAATATGGTAGAAACCATTTTCATCACGGGTTGCCCCATCACCAGAAAAATAGTAACCTGTAAGATGAAGAATGATTTATAAACTATTCAACTTGGCTTTGGCTGACTAAGACAAATACTAATTGTTGTGTACTATAATTACGTGTCACTGAATTTTTTTTCGTTATTTCTTTTTTAAGATATGGCTCAATAGAAAATTTAAGACTTGCCCACTTGGCTAGATTAACTATAGATGTACTAGCCCACAGGCTACTTCACTAGCAAACCAATTTTTTCGTAATACAGGCCCTGTCCAGACTATTAAATTTTATTTGACAAAAACATGTGACATGCCTAAATATGGTCATGATGACATCACATCATGTGCATAGACACAGGATGACTATATATGGGCATCAAACAGTTTGTTTTTTTTGTCAAGAAAATTTTATAGTGTAGATAAGGCTTTAAATAGAGAATATTACCTGGATATGGTGAGAAATAAACCTCTTGAAATCTCTGATGGTTTCCATAAATAGTTCTTGCCATTCCTGGCCAAGGCTTACGTATACAAAGAGCACCACTCACATCATTACCCTCCAATTCTTTTGACTATAAAAAGTAAAACAATCAGTTACTTGTGTATTTTATTGTTTCTTTATATAGTTGTATACTATTATTGAGGGTAGTACATATTTCTTAGTGGGAATGAAAGCAACCAAATGGTACATTCAAAGTTCTGGGATTGAATCGTGACAGGGTATACAATAGGGCCAATAAGTTTTCTATAAAAAAAAATCTATCATGAGGAGGCATTCCTTTTATCATTAACAATTAGTGATCTGCATTTTGGCAGCTTATAGTAGCAACTCCCGCAATCTTTCATGGTCCAGCACTTCTTTCCTTAACTCTTGAAATGTGCTTTCATGTTCCTTTATAGCAAGTTGAATATTATTATGTGACTGAATACTGCTATTTAATCTTCTCAAATTATTTTAATATTGCAATGCTTTTCATAATACTTTATAACAGCAGTATTTTTGTAGGCTATTTTGTAGATACTGTAATCTGATTTTATACTTAGGATAGAGTTTACATAAGAGTAGACAGTGTATATATTGAAGTCGTATGAAGGTTGATTTGATGTACATAATATTTATTTTATTTTCTGTACAAAGTTTTATAGTTCATATAATTCAGTCCTGCTTGTAATGATACGATAGAACAATCCAATGCATATTAAATGTGCAATGGCGCCCTCTATATAATTCTATAATTCAAGTCCATAGCAACAGAATCTCTCTCTCCTATTCCCGTCTGTAAGCAATAGCTGAATCAATACTACAATCTTAAATGAATAAAGTTTATGTTGGAGTTTAAGCTCACGTGTCTTTAATTTGTACACACACGCTTATACATCGAACAGCCAACCTATCTTTACATGATGGCAGCTATGGAACAGCCAACCTATCTTTACATGATGGCAGCTGTGGAACAGCCAACCTATCTTTACATGATGGCAGCTGTGGAACAGCCAACCTATCTTTACATGATGGCAGCTGTGGAACAGCCAACCTATCTTTACATGATGGCAGCTGTGGAACAGCCAACCTATCTTTACACTGCTGTTTTGGTTATAATCATTGAAATAAACACCATCAATAAAGTCTACCTTTTCATCCATGAGTACAGGATCAATACCAAAGAATGGTCGCATGGGTCCGGTATAAATTTCAGCCCCAGGGTCAGATGGCCTGGGTGTGATGCAAATACCTCCGGTCTCTGGTAAAGATAATATATTCATAATAAATGCGATTGACAATTAACAATTGCCTCTTCTTGCATTAGCTTAATGATTTTTTTTCCCATAATTCAAGGACATTGTTGATTAATGGCATTCACAGCAACTACAATTTTGAATGGGATATAATTATTAATACAAATAATATAACAAACTGATATTGAAAATGGGCATGACAAATAACTTGGCATCATCATTATCATCAATGATGATGCTAATGATGACGATGAGGAAGTTAATGTTGATGATAATGATGTTAATGATGATAGTGATGGTGATGATAAGGATAACAATGATGATAATAATGATGACAATGATGAAGGATGACAGAGATGGCGATGAAGATTTAATTTCATACTATAAATTTTGTCTTCATATAATACTATTACAGACAGAAAAAAAGAATATTGAGGAAGAAAATAATGCACATAATAAAATGTTTACTGGGAGGGTGACTGGATTGATAAAAGCAAAACTTAATATCTAAGTGATTAAAGTGTTTGTCTTTTGTGGTAATGAAGATCCTGTCATAATATGACAAAATGTATATGAGCACAATGTGTCAATCTACAACAGCTATTGTTTATATAGGTAATATGGCATGACTGTAAGAGAAAATGAACTATGATTTTAGGAGAAAGGAAGAATGAGTTACTTAATTATCTCACCTGTCTGCCACCATGTATCCACCAGTGAACACCTGCCGTCTCCAACAACATCATTGTACCATTCCCACGCTTCACGGTTCAATGGTTCTCCAACTGGGAAAATACACATTAATATATAAATAGTATATTTACCTGAATGTAAAGACTTTGTAAAGGTTGGTATGCTAATAATAAAAATTGGTCATCAATTCACAGATTCAAAGGTAGAACATATTTATTTTACAACAAAGGAAATTCTAAGTACAGAGAATATATTGCCATAACAACATAAAAATATATGTACATTTTGAAAACATCATAGGTAATAGAATAAAAATTGGGTTGCTACAGTATGAAGTGTTTTGTATTGCTGAGAAAAGTAGTGAAATTGCATGAATTGTTGTTAGCAAAAAAAAAAACCCACATGTACTACCATTAATTTCCAAAATTATTTGGCATAAAAAGAGTGGAAATAAGGAACACTTAAAACCAGAACACAATAAAAAAAAATGAAAATGGTACAATTAGGTTATTGCAAAAACATAAAAAAAAAAACACATTAACTGTTGTAATTTCAAATTGATTTTGTTGCTTTTTGTGTGAGGGCCCCTTTAATTAAGTCAGCATTGCTGTTA